TTCGAAAAAGGCCTACCGTTGCAATTTACTATGAAAAATGAGCCCATCATATGCATGTCGATCACTCAAATTTCATATGGTGCAAGAAGCCTATATTCGACATCACGTGACCGGCGTGGCCAAAATTCTGGAATCATGTGATCATGAAATTGTCCAATAAAATTTCGCCGATTAGCATAAAAATTACTATCGCTATCTTATACGATAATACTGTAATAGATTATATTAAACGAAAATATGCAATGCAAAGATAATGTACATAAATATAAATAGAAGATCATTAACAATCAACTTTTTTTTTTCGTAACTTGCAAATAGATATATACAATAATATATCTTTCGCTAGAGGTGCGTGGCCAAATAAAACTTAGTAATTACAATGTAGATTCTTTTTTTTTTTTTTTTTTAATAAAAAAAAAAAAAAGTACATTTTTTAACATAAGTCGCTAAAATAAAAAAAGTTATGCAGAAATTGAGCGAAAGTTCCTTGAACTAGATTTAAAAGAACAAGAGTCATCAGAAAAAAATTTGGCTTGCGTAAAATAAAAAAAAAAAGATCGAAACCAAGCCATATCTTTGAATTATCCGATAATATTATCTAACACATATTCCCCATATTCTTGAAGGCGATAGCTCAAATTAACGGTGTGAACCAACTGCAGGGTTTTTCCAACCAATCTTACTATAATAATGCCATCTTTGAATAAAAAAAGACGCCAGCTTGAGGCTGCTAGAAAATCGAAAGGTAAACGTGCTCGTTCAGAAAAAAATAAGATAGTACATGAATATGATAAACAAGATGATTATGAACAAATAAATGAAGAGCTGAACGATCATATGTGGGTAGATGAAGAGATCGACGAAAGAGCTGCTGATTACTTTGATATTCTACTTTCAGCTGGTAGGAATAATAATGTTTGGAAGACTTCGGGAAGGCCCATTTTTAATTTTGGTGATTCTGGAAGAACTTTAAGGCGAAAAAAAGCCGTGTTAAAAAAAGCCGTTCAAAACATTTAACCTATTACCTTTTACTTATCTTCTGCTTCAGCCCACTCCTTAGCACCTAACACCACTTCGACCTGTGCACTTTCAGATGCAGTTGCATTGGTACAATCAGCAGAGGAAAATAGAGAGAAAAATATCAAAGGAATTATGGAAGGAATTATGGAGGGAAATACGGAGGGAAATATGGAGGGAAATACGGAGAGAATTATGAAGGGAATTGTGGAGAGAAATACGGAGGAAAATACAGAAGAAAATAGAGAGAGAATTATAGAGGGAAATACAGAGGAAAATATGGAGGAAAATGCAGGAGAAAGTATAGAAAAAAATATAGCTAATGAAAAAGCAAGAATGAAATTAGCAATCGAGGAACAGGACAATTTATTAAAAAAGAATGATGAACATATGGATAAAGGAACTAAGGTTCGCTTACAAGCATCACTGCAATACTTGCGATTAAGACACCAAGGTTGGACTAAAATTCATGCAAGTGCGACAATTGCTGGCTCATTAGGCTGGGGCGATTATAAAGTGCGATGTATTCGTACATGGGGTAATGAATGGTTAAAGTGGAGAAGATTACCAAAGGATAATCGCGAAAAGTTCATAAAGGTAGTGAGTCTTATTGATGATGAAAGGATATCTTTAAAGGTAAAATTTCTCTTATACTGTATAATATTAAAATATAATTGTTATATAACTCATGAAGACACATTTTAAATAGATCATGTCATACTTAAGAAGTCATAAATTTAGTGTGAACCCTAAGGTTCTGAAAGAATTTGTGGAGAATGAAGTATTTCTGTCTTTAGGTGTTGAAAAAAAGACAACTATAAGTGAAAGAACCGCGTCAACATGGCTCAACAAGTTGGGATGGCACTATAAGGAGTGGAAGAAGGGTATATATGTAGATGGTCATGAGCAAGAGGACGTGGTACGATACCGACAAAAGATTTTTTTGCCTATGATAGCAAATCTAGAACCTCTTCTTATTGAATACGATGAAAATGATCTGAATAAATTAG